TATATATACTAATCTTCAGTAAAACCTTTAAAAATAACTGGCCCAATACACTGAGAACAGTGAGTCCAGCAAACAGAACTCCACCCTTCCTTCCTTAAGGTCTTTTCCTTCAGATTCTCAATAGCTCAGTAAAGGCAATCAAATATAGAAAGAATATTCAAAATATAAATGTATAACAAATACAACACATCTTTAAATAAACCTAAGTGATGTTGCAGGAATTCCAATTTTAACTGTAAAACCAAGGTGCTCAGTTATACGATCTGTGTGAACTTACATGACTTCTTAAAAGATTAAGAAAATTATCTACCCCCCAAAACCCACAATTTCAATAAATTCTAAAATGTGGTATCAAATACGACTTAGAGAAAATTATCCATACCAATCCCAATGTCCTAGAAGCAAATGATTCAATCTTGCAGATTAAGTTACTAGGTCTATCACTAACAGAAGTAAAGAGCAAGAAAGTATGCAAACACGTAAAAGAAAAGCTAATGCATGACAACCAAGCCTTCCTCGGGAACAAAACAGCATGGGAATTGAAAGAGGAGGAACAGGAAGATACCTGCTGTTTCTTGTTTTTGAGGCAACCGTCCATTTCTAGGGCCTAGGATGGTGCCCGGAACATACCGACACTCAATAAATACTTGTTAAATGAATGAATATGACCACTCATTCCTTCAAAAACTTTTACTAAGTATTCAGTCACTGTGCTGGACACATGAGAAAAAAAAGAGTGGATAAAGTCTGATTCCTGACTCTTCAAAACAAACAGTATAATGAAGAAAGGCACTTACATACACAATTGCAACACGATATATAAAAGCTATAATAGGAACACTCTAAGTGCTATGGGGGGTAATGAGTGTCAATGAGTTTGTAAAATACTATTAAATAATGTTCAGATAACATTTTCTTTTAAATGTTTTATTATAATCTATATGTTTGCAACATACACTAGCAGCACCTCATATATCTATCATAGAGAAGACAGGATACTATTCCTCTCTGAGGGCATGGAATGCTTAATATATGTATCATTAACTAGAGGCTCCAGTCATAGCTACAGTTTGACATACTTATTCTATGATATAAATAGCATACATAATTAATGAATTTTAATATATGCCAGTTTTTCATATTATTCTACTATCTCAAGCTAACAGATCAGTAAACGTCAACAACAATATACAGAACACTGCAGACACAACATTGTAAAATAATTATAAATCAATAAATGTTAAAAAAAAAACACTGCAGGGAATAATGCTGTCCTAACAAAAGAAACACAATTAATGTGGTAGATTAAAGATCTACACCATGCTGAAGAGAATACTATTATAAGACCCTTCAGAGAAGTTTTGAGACTATATGAGGAGCGCATCCATTACAGCCCCCAGCCACTTGACTGATCCCAGCAAACACCCCACATACCAAGTAGCAGTGCTGAGTTTAACCCACAGAGCCTTGCCCAAATTGCAAATTTATGAGCAAAACCGAAGGGTGTTGTTTTAAGCTGAGGTGGGAAGCACCATGAAAAGACTGGCAAGACCCCCAGGCAGGGCCACTATCTTGCCTTTATGCTTCTGTAAAATGGCTTGCTTCTAGGAGAGGGGAACTTACCCCTAAGATCGTATTGGTTCCCTAGGCTCACTCCTGATTGGTCCATTTCTTACACCTACTCTGCATATGATGTTGCAAAGTCTTGACTAGTAGCCTCTAAAAGCCTGTGTAAACCTACAGATGGGGACCAGAGCTTGGAGTGTTAACTCCTCTAGGCCAACTGTGTAATAAACCTGAACTCTCCAACCCTCCCAGTGCTGCTTTGTCTCTCGTCAGGATCCAGGTTGCTGTAACACTTCACTGTAAAAAACCCATAAAGTTTTGAGGTAGTTTGTTAGGTACCAACAGATAACCAGAATTATTTAATGCTTCTAAAATCCTTGACTAAAGATAAAAGACCATTCAATATCTGTCTCTCTCTCCCTTTCTGTGTCTGAGGTGGAGGAGGGGAGAGTGAACTTGCTAAAAGATTAAGTTAGCATTTGAAGCAAATCAGTCGTCCAATTATTACAAATTAACAGGTCAGAATTGAAGAGCTGAAGTCCATACTGCCTTTTTTGGTTTTGGTATAGAAAGGAAACACTATGAACATGAATACAGGGAAGGAGGAAGGAAAAATATTTGTACACATTACCCTTACCAGCTTGATAGTAAGCTCTGGTTCTACACAAGTGCTCAGTTTTGCTGCACGCTGAGATCAGGCTAAAGGAGAGCACCCAGTTAGATCTGTTATTAGTTAAAAAATCTGTTATTACTTAACCTTTTTAAGGGATCATGAACCCCTGATGAAAGCTATGGATCCTTTCTCCCTAAAAAAAAAATTCACATGCACAAATACAATTGCATACAATTTCAGTGGATTTTCAGCCCTTATGGTTCACAATCCTCGAGTTTAGAACCTGTGTTATAGGATTATTCAATAATGATCCACTTGATAATGCTGGCATTGTTAGAATTATAATAAAGCATTTCACTCAAATTCCAAAAATAATTACTTTTCATTAATCACTGGAGAATCCAGCAATTCAAATCTTCTGTGAATTTAACATCCATCCACCTATTTTACCCTGAAATTATTACTCAATTCCAATATCCAGCACCAGGCAATAACCGTCTCAGAGATGCCTCAGAAAACACACCATTCTAAAACAACTTGGTTTATACGAAGATTGTCTTTTGGAGACAGGGGTTCAGTCTCACGCTGCTGATTTGGCACAGTAGTAACTTGGGATTCTTATTCTTGCTCATAAGGCTCATCAGGGTAAGAGTTCACTTTCATACCTCTTTAAATCTTTTGCATCCCAACAGTAAAATTGTACTAGTTACTAATAATGATGTTAGTCAATCAGCCTAAAGCAACCATTCTCAAACTTTTTGGTCTCAGGACTCTTTTATACTCTTAAATATTATTTAGAACCCCATAAAGCTTTTGTTAGGTTGGTTGCGTCTATTGAGGTTTACAGTACTGAAACTGAGAAATGTTCTAAATACATATTAATTCATTCTAAGATAACAATAAACAATGTATATTAGCAAATAATATTTTTATTAAAAATATTTTTCAAAAACTAGTGAGAAAAGTTGCACTGTTTAAAATTTTGCAAATCCCTTTAATGTCTGGCTTAATAGAAAGAAGTTGGATTTCGACATTTGAGTCTACATTTCAATCTGCTGTAATACCCAAGGTCATGTTAATCTTTACAAAACTCCACTGAACGCTCATGAAAGAATGAGAGTGAAAAAGACAGACAGTGCCCAGTATTATCATGAAAACAGTTTTGGCCTCAAGGACCCCTTGAAAAGAATCTAAAGAACTTGCGGCCTAGAGCCACCTGTGAGTGTCCTAGGTCCTTTACTTCTTCCTTCACATTTCTTTTAAATGACCAGAATTCAAACTGGAGCAATAAATTCTACAATTTACTTTATAACTCCTTCTGTACATTGCTCTTTCATCAGGCGATAATAGATTTTTAACACGCTTCCTTACAACTTCTGAGCATCAAAATAAAAGGCTGATGAAACTAAACATTTACACCTGTTCTTTCCTCCCTGGTAACCAAGTAAACAACTATCTAGGGAGATAGTTATAATGCCATTCCCATACCAATTTGGGAATTAATCTAGACTGCTATAAGAAGACCTACCCAAAACTAATTTATATTTTGGTTTAGCTTTAAAAATACAAACATACGTTTTTGTTCAAAAGAACAAATCCACAAAAGCCTCATTTGCCCTTACCAAGTGGTACAAAACTGAACTGGGTTAAAAGCCAAGGGAATTAGTGTGTTAATTTTAAAAGTTCAAGTACACTATGGAGTTGAATGAGAAACAATTTTCTAGATAACTATCACTAAACAAGTAAAAAGTACAAAAATACTTTAAAAAGTCAAAGTCGTCTGAGCAAACAAAAAGATGTCCCTACAAAAATCTTATAAAGTAAAAACTAGCCATAAACGTGGTTAACTAGAAAAAGGTGAGGAAGAAAAACTTACCACGGAAAATCGAACACTCGCGATGGAGTGTAAATCGCAAGAAAATCTTGATATTAACATTAAAATGGAGTACTTTGCTACAATGGGTGGCTTGCTGCAAATGTTTTGCAACTGCTCAACACACACCAAGTTTTCCTATCCTTTTCCTCAAAGGTTATCAGTCATCTTCAGGTTAACGCCCAGATGAAATGCTTTCTGTTGCTCTAGCAGTTTTGTTCTACTTTGTTTCTTGGTTATTCTGAGTGCTCTTACAACTGGAGAGCTGCTGAGCCAATCCCGAGTAAGAAATGGGAAAGTACAAGAAGAGGCCACAGCTCTGCACCCCCACACGGAAAAAGACTCAGAGCAGAGCAGCTCGGCTCTAGCTGCAATCCGAACGGAAAGCAGAGCTATCTAGGTTCCCAGCAACACGAGACGTCTCCCTCCCCCTTGCTCCCACGTCCCCACTCCGGGATTACCTAAAGACCAAGAACCAAAAAGTGGAGTCCACCCACTTTTTCAGGGCCACCGAGCCTCCCGGGCAGAGATTCTCTCCCGTTACATAACTGGGGCCTAGGGCCGTGCTTCTGCAATCAGCCCTCTGGAGAGGCAGGCGGACGGGCTCCCCAGGGACCCTCTAGGGGAGGTGGAAGCTGGGCTCTGCACCTGGTCGGCCCCGGAGGAAAAAGGGGGACGACTTAAGGGAGGCCGCGACCAGAGGCGCTGGGGCACAGTGGGTGATGAGAGAGCCCGGAAAGCGGCAGGGCGGCTCCCGGAGGTCCGCGGCAGGCCCGGGCGTCTCCGGCCCTAGTCCACTCCCCTCCTTCGCCAGCCGAGCCCCCACCGGCCGCCCCCTCCCCCATTCCGCGC